TCGCCGAGCCGCTTTGGAGAGAGACGGGCCGCCGAGTGACTCCGGGCAGCTGGGCTTAATAGCACCTCGGCTCCGGAGGTGTCCGTGATCGCGCTGATTAGCCCCTTCAGCTCCACCCCATCGTAAGACCTGCAACACGCCTGCACAAAGGCCCTGGGGCCGTCACACTCTTTCATAACAACAGTTGTAGGTACAGTTCGGTTAGTTAGCGTATGAAATATACGGCTCACAGGTAGGGGGGGGCAAGAGCTCCAACGAGTCGTTTAGTGGAGAGAGTGAATACTGCTGAATACACATACTTGACAGAGATGCTGTATGCGAAACCAATGTGAGTTTGGAAAATTGCACAGTATAAATCTATTTTAGTGTACCTCAACAATGTAATTATGATCAGTGGAAATGGCCATGACATGGGCCCTTTAAACTCAAGGCTTGTATACATTATTTATGAATGACTCAATGCTCATGAGATAAGAGCACAAAACCTATTTGGCAGAATGTTACTTTTTTTGACATGCTTTGGTCCCAGGCGTGGAGAGAAGGGGAAGTGGGGCAGCAGTAATTCACATTCTCACCACTTCTTTGGAAATATATAGTGAACTGCTGTTAATGGTGTCCCGCAGGCTTATACAGTAGGAGGAGGATGTTGCATGCTGGATTTTCTGGTAATGGATTCAAAACTGGCTTTAAAATGTTATATATATATATAACCATTTATCTTTATTATTCTGTTGCTTCAATGGGTGGAGTCAAATTTAAAGATGCCCTATTATGCTAACTAGAAAATGCATTTCCTGCAGAAAATGCGTGCGAATGCTGTAAACTGTGAACATTTGTGGCTGAATTTAGCTGAAAATGCAGAAAAAGTTGAATATGTTATTAGCTGAATGGTAGCTGCTTTTAGCTACAAAAATGCAGAAAAAGCTTAATATTTAAAAGAAAAGGTTTAAAAAAACATGTATAGCCTTGATGTCCTGAAATAGCTGAATAATGTAATAGTTGAATGGTTTCTGCAGCTGAAAATAGGCTGAAGGAGTTAACTAGAAAATGCATTTCCTGCAGAAAATGCATTTCCTGCAGAAAATGCGTGCGAATGCTGTAAACTGAACATTTGTGGCTGAATTTAGCTGAAAATGCAGAAAAAGCTGAATATGTTATTAGCTGAATGGTAGCTGCTTTTAGCTACAAAAATGCAGAAAAAGCTTAATATTTAAAAGAAAAGGTTTAAAAAAAGGTAGAAACAACAACATGTATAGCCTTGATGTCCTGAAATAGCTGAATAATGTAATAGTTGAATGGTTTCTGCAGCTGAAAATAGGCTGAAGGAGTTAAATATCAGATGTAAGTAGTAGTGAATTAATTTGTATTAAGATGAGAAAAGAAAGTAAAAAGGCTTGGGAAAGCAGCAGAATATTTGAACTGCAAACTTTTGAACTAACTTGATGGTAAATTATCTGTCACCATGGCAACGGCATTTGATGACACCCCATAATACGCTTAGATGTGTTGATGGCTGCATCGTTACCAAACCTGTGAAGTTTTGGGCCATTTCGAGCATTTTCACTGAAGTTATGAGAAAACCGTGTTTCATGGTGAGCATTGTGTTGCCATGGCAATTTGGCATGGCATTTTCATAGGAGTTATACATTACATTAGGAGGTTACATTACTCTCTTCTCTTGATCGCCCACTCTCTTCTCTTGATCACCCTCTCAATCTTCTATCGCCCTCTCTCCCTTCTCTTGATCGCCCTCTCTCTCTTCTCTTGATCGCCCTCTCTCTCTTCTATCTCTATTCTCTTGCTCGCCCTCTCTCTCTTCTCTTGATCGCCCTCTCTCTTCTCTTGCTCGCCCTCTCTCTCTCCTCTTGATCGCCCTCTCTCTCTTCTTTTGATCGCCCTCTTTCTCTTCTCTTCATCGCCCTCTCTCTCTTCTCTTGATCACCCTCTCACTCTTCTATCACCCTCTCTCTCTTCTCTTGATCGCCCTCTCTCTCCTCTTGCTCGCCCTCCCTCTCTTCTCTCTCTCTTCTCTTGATCGCCCTCTCTCTCTTCTCTTGATCGCCCTCTCTCTTCTCTTGATCACCCTCTCACTCTTCTATCACCCTCTCTCTCTTCTCTTGATCGCCCTCTCTCTCTTCTCTTGATAGCCCTCTCTCTCTCTCCTCTTGATCGCCCTCTCTCTCTCCTCTTGATCGCCCTCTCTCTCCTCTTGATCGCACTCTCACTCTTCTATCACCCTCTCTCTCTTCTCTTGATCGCCCTCTCTCTCTTCTCTTGATCACCCTCTCACTCTTCTATCACCCTCTCTCTCTTCTCTTGATCGCCCTCTCTCTCTCCTCTTGATCGCCCTCTCTCTCTCCTCTTGATCGCCCTCTCTCTCTTCTCTTGATCACCCTCTCACTCTTCTATCACCCTCTCTCTCTTCTCTTGATCGCCCTCTCTCTCCTCTTGATCGCCCTCTCTCTCTTCTCTTGATCACCCTCTCACTCTTCTATCACCCTCTCTCTCTTCTCTTGATCGCCCTCTCTCTCTCTTCTCTTGATCGCCCTCTCTCTCTTCTCTTGATCGCCCTCTCTCTCTCCTCTTGATCGCCCTCTCTCTCTTCTCTTGATCGCCCTCTCTCTCTCCTCTTGATCGCCCTCTCTCTCTCTTCTCTTGATCACCCTCTCACTCTTCTATCACCCTTTCTCTCTTCTCTTGATCGCCCTCTCTCTCTTCTCTTGATCACCCTCTCTCTCTTCTCTTGATGTGTCTGTGTGAGAGAGAGAGTGTGTGTGTGTGTGTGTGTGTGTGTGTCTGTCTGTCTGTCTGTCTGTCTGTCTGTCTGTCTGAGAGAGAGAGTGTGTGTGTGTGTGTGTGTGTGTGTGTGTGTGTGTGTGTGTGTGTGTGTGTGTGTGTGTGTGTGTGTGTGTGTGTGTGAATTGTTACAGCTCAAATGCATTGTAATGACTTCCATGTTAAAAAAAAGACTTTAAAAAACTGAATGTTTTAAAAAGTATAACATATTTTGAAAAAGTTTAAAGTTTCCCATCATGTGCTGAAAAGGCTGAATAGTTTGATATTTGAATGTTTTCTGCAGCTGAAATTAGGCTGAAGGAGTTAAATAAAGATATTAAATGTAAGTAGTAGTGAATGAATATTTACAAACACCTGTGTGTGTAAACCAAGCGGCAAACTCTGGGGAAGAGCCGGGACGCCAATACGGAAGTGCCACAAACTGCAGTGCATATATTGGCCGATAGGCGATGACTGCAGAAAGGAGCAATTTCCATAGACCCCCATGTTAAAATGCCCAATTTTACAGCAGAAAAAAACATGTTTCTAGCCCTGGATGCAATAAATATTATTATTGATATAGTTAGATTCCACCTTCATGATTATGAATCTGTGAATGAATTGTTTTCTAACATGACCCTTTTATTTATATTAGGTCTTAAAGTTTTTGCATAGATTAGGGCGTGGTCACATTGAGTGACAGCTCTGTCAAGTGACTGCTGCTGTAAGCTTCTTGTCTTTCTGCTAGCTGCCTGCTCCGTGAAGCTACAGGGACTCTGCCTGCTCAGTTCATCCAGGGAACACAACTTGACCCCGGCCGTGTTTGTTTGTTCTTCATGCTTATATATCGGACTATTGTGACTCGCTCTGCGGTTAAAACAGACGGTGCATGAATGCCGTTTTGCGGTAAGTGAAATTCGAGTACTTTATTTATGTGTTTATGATTTCAATCAGCTACGTAATGAATGTTAAGGCTTGGGTTAGCGTGTAAGCGAGTGGTAGCTACATCGGTGCTAATGATGCTAATCTTAGCCTCCAAGTTAACTTAAAACCATAGACTGTATATATAAAGGTTAAAACGAAATAGACAAGTGTTAAGCGTTAAGTGAGATAGTACTGTAGAACAAAAGGCTTCTGTTTGAGGTTGATAAAATAAGGTCATCCTTGTAACTTAGAGAGATATTTGGTAACACTTTATTTTGATAGTCCATAGTTAACACTCTATAAGTCATCAGTTGACATTTAGTAGCATGTCAACAGTGCATCAGTTGACAAGTGTCAGTTGACATTCAACAGCACCGTTCAAACTGACAAGTAACTAACCATTAGTTGACGATCAACAGATAAGCAACTAAAGTTCAGTTGACTATTACATTAAGCATTAGTTGATGATCAACAGATAAGTAACTTCAGAGTTTAGTTGACTATTACATTAACCATTAATTGATGATCAACAGATAAGTAACTTCAGAGTTTAGTTGACTATTACATTAACCATTAATTGATGATCAACAGATAAGCAACTTTAGAGTTTAGTTGACTATTACATTAACCATTAGTTGACGATCAACAGATAAGCAACTAAAGTTCAGTTGACTATTACATTAACCATTAGTTGATGATCAACAGATAAGTAACTTCAGAGTTTAGTTGACTATTACATTAACCATTAATTGATGATCAACAGATAAGCAACTTTAGAGTTTAGTTGACTATTACATTAAGCATTAGTTGATGATCAACAGATAAGTAACTTTAGAGTTTAGTTGACTATCTGTTGATTGTCAACTAATCTAGAGTTGACTATCAGTATACTTTTAGTAGGTTCTCCACTAAGCGTTTGTAGGCATGTGTTAGGACTATCCAATTAAAGTGAAAAACAGTTGAGAACAGTAGAAAGTCTATAACCTATCAACAGAACACATACAGTCATCCACTAATTATATGCAACAGACATGGGAATAAAGCGAAATCTTTTGCACAACTGATCACAAACACTGGATAACTGAAGTCAATACCAGGCTATAAAGCACAGTAGAACAAACATTATACACAGCATATCAGAGAAAGAAAGCTATTTTATTTTAATAATACACTACAAGTAAAAACACTGAACAGTTGTGAACCACATTCAATCCTACTAAAATCCTACATCTAAACGTAATTATTAACAGGTCGCAAAAATAGAATGCAAAAATAGAATGCAAAAAGGCTTAACAGTTTGCCTAAAACTGCAGGGCATGGGATTGACCATACACAGCATATACTAAGATACTTAAAAGTTTTTTTTTTTTACTACTATATATCAAAAAAAAAATATATATATATATATATAAAAAAGAAAATACATTATTCAACTGTTCATTTAGCGTTTCAATAGACTATATTTCACAACTGTGTATTAACATTACATTTTAAAGTTTTCTCTACAATACCAGGAATAAACCTCTGGTGGAAACAGTCAATCCCTTATATATTTTTTTTGTAGGCGTACAAACTTAAAATTAAGAATACACATCAGCTAATAAAATACCCGCTGTGAGTTAGAGAAGGAAAACTTCCCAAAAGTAGCTTCCCCCCCCACAACAACAACAACGCTCAACCCACATTCAGAATTACCTGACAGAAAAGGGGATGAGCTGTTTGTTCCTTTTCATTTCATCTATCTTTTCTGCCAGTTCACCGACTATTTTCTTCTGACAGAGTTGGGCTAATTTTAAAAGTGTGTTTTTACCCTTAAACTGGTCTAGGACACTTTTATCTACCAGGAATACTTCAGCAATTGCTGCAGTGTCTTTCACAGCATTCCTGGAAACATGAGCTTTCTTAAAAGCTTTGGTCATCCTGAAGCCTCTCTGCACCAGTTTAAGGACACGCCGATATCTCCTCACCACATCTGAGATGGAAGACACTGAAAAATAAAGAATACATTAATGTCAATAAATGTTATGGCCCCCCAATAATTGTTGTGGTGTGTATTGTGTGCAGTGTCTTAGTTGCAGGGTGAGCCATAGTGTTTCTCACATATTTTCTCTTGAAAAGGGACTACAACTTGGATGAATGTGTGTGACTTCCCGTTTGTTTTAGAACATGTGTTGTATTTTATAGTAGGTACTAGGTAGTGTGCCTGTATGCGCAGTGTGCAAATCTAGTTAGATAATTTGCTATTTATTGGTAAAAAACATATTGGTGGTAAAAACTGGTGAGAACATTATTTATATTTCATTATTCATTACAGGTTCAGCTCAAACAGCCATAGTAGCTGAGCATTAGAGGTGTGGACATTTCTCGATTTATAAGATGCATGTACGATTCTGCATCGATGCAGTGACAGAACATAAATCGGGAGTTTGGTTTCATATCAGCTTAGTGAGAGTCTTACTGCGTTCTGTCATTTTATGTTGCGCTAGTTTCTCTCCTCTCCTCTGATCTCCGTTTCCCCGAGGGCAGAGCTTTACACACACCCCGTGTGTGCGGAGGTGAGAGGCGGCATTCAAACGATCTGCAGTCCACTAACTTGTTGCTCTCACTACCAATAACAGCTGCTCTGTTATGCCAAATTCACATCAGGCAGCAGCGAAGTGCAGATCGCCACAATGATGACATTTTTCTGAGGCGTGTTCATGTGTTTCAGACGAGAAGAAATTCTTTATAACATAGGTCAACGTGTCAGGACTCTGTTTACTGATTGGCTGCGGGTACTCTCTGGCTGCGCTTCGCCACTAAAAGTTGAAATATCCCCAACTTTTTGTTTGGTTGCACTTCCCCGCAGAATCAAACGTCCGCTGTGCGCTCATAGATATCGCATAGTAGAAGAACTATGAGTAAGGGAAGGTCCGTAGCTGCTAGGCAGTGTAAATGCCATCGGCTTTGTGCTGCATTCACATGATGCCGGAATAGTCTGAAAAGTTATCTCCCTGCCCATTCACCCCCCCCAAAGCAGTCAACCTAGGGAAACACTGAGCTGCTATGTGAAAACCTTATTTTTGTAGATTACAGCACACTGCAGAATTATTTAAGTTTTGTTTTTATTAAGTTTATGTGAGGTGGCTCACACAGATACTGGTATTGAAAAGAAGCTTTTATATTAAAGTCTGTACAGTCAGATCTTTGAAAGCACTTTCTAAATAAAAAAGGGAGTTCAGATTTATCTGACTGCTTGTATTAATAGATAACATTTTTTGCTATGTGCAGTAATATAGAAAATTGAGGATGCAATACATTGAGATGCATCGAGGATTGTTGGGAATTTGAATCGTTGACAGGTGAACCGTATTCAAATCGAATCGTGAGGCCACACCTCTAGTAAGCATGTGGTGTGTCTCTATTTTAGTTCATTCAACCTACACCCCAACCACTCCGGCACGATGAAGAGTACATTGGTGATAAGAGTGATGATGATTGGTCAATGGGATTGTATGCCCCAAACCCAGTATAAAGCACTAAGCTCACAATAATAACCTAAATACATAATACCTAAATACATTCAGCAGGTGTGTTAGTTTATTCAGGGTTCTTACACCTTTTCCAAAGTCAAATTCAAGCACTTTTCAAGCATTTTCAAGGTGCATTTTCAAGCTTTTCAAGCATCTTACAGCTGTTGTAAATTACATATTTATATACACATACTTATACTCAAATGATTATTTCCATACCTCACATTAAATCAGATGTTCTTTACGCTATAAACAACCAAATGTGTGTTTCATAATAGCATTCTACATGAGGATTTCAAAATGTGTGACCCATCTGTACGTAGACTGGGCATCCCATATAACCTGGCTGAGCCAATATAAAACAATCAGCCAAATAACTTTTCAATATATTATTGATTACTATTTTTGAGGTACTTTTAGGTTGGCAGTAAACACAAGTCAGAGGTAACTGGTGTACTTTGACTCCACTACATGTATTTAATACCTTTAGTTACTTTACAGATGTGGATGAATGATGTGAAATATAATCAAGTGTTAAATCAGACTTTAGTTCCACCTGGAGTAAATTCACAAGCTACTCTGTAGTATACAAAGTCATTCAAACTAGCTGCAACTTTACCAGCTTTGAGAACACTTTAATGATCAATCATTATAAAACATATCATATACAATTATTAGGGATGCTCCGATCGCCAATTTTGGGGCCGATCGCCGGAATCAGTATCGGCCGATACCGATACCGCTCTCTTTTCCTCTCTCCCTCTCTCTCTCTCCCTCTCCCTCTCTCTCCCCCTCTCTCTCTCTCCTGACAGCCCGTCAGTATCTCCTGCAGCTCACTGATCCAGTAATGAGCGACCCGACAGTGAAGAATAAATATATTTATAACTAGTTTAGCTTGTTCCAGAGGTAGATAAAATAGCTAAGTGTGTTAGGTCTAACTCTTAATGTGTGTTCTGCTCCGCTCACCGGTCCGTCACAGCGGGTGGAGCTGCAGGATTTCTGCTTCACACACACGTTGCATACCGCTATTTTATTGTCATTTTCGGACACTTAAAATACTGCCAGACTAGTGAAGCCATTTTGGCGAGCTTGTTTTGCCGCGCACAGAGAAAAGTGTCATGTATTTTACATGCAACGATAGCCTAATCTAAAATGTTCTACTATGGCGTACCTTTCGTGTGGTGTGTGGCTCGTCAGCGCAGACTCTCGCATCGTTATTGTTGCACACTTTGCAGGAGGCTACTCTTGGGCTTCGCTTGACCCTCGTCTTAGCCATGGCTTGTATTTGTCTTCTGCTAGCCAACGCTCGTTGAAACGGCAACCTCCTGGCATACTGTCATCTATCACTCTCATCAGAATGCCCAGGTCACACACGTAACAAAAACACTTGCCGGTCACGCGCATTGCGCGGGAAGGCCGGAGCGGAGCTGTTTTATGTAAAAGCGAAGCAATTAAGCGCGCTCCGACTTCTTTATTTTCTTTTAATCTAAAAAGCGAAGTAAAGCATTTACAATTTCAAGCACTTTATCCCAAATTCAAGCACCATTCCCAAAATTCAAGCACTTTTCAAACCTTGAAAACACCTCGTACAATTTCAAGCATTTTCAAGAATTTCCAGCACCCGTACGCACCCTGTTTATTATACCTCGCTCTCCTTTTCCTTTTGACCTCTTCGCCTTTTTGTTTTCCTTCTTCCCTTTTTTGCTTCTCTTCTTGCCATTCTTCTTCTGCTTCTTTTTCTTCTTTTTCTTCTTTCCCTCATCAGAAGAGTCAGAGGTAGAGGTAGAGCTTGAGTCAGAGCTTGAGTCAGAGCTTGAGTCAGTGCTGGAATCGTTGCTGGAATCCGTGCTGGAGTCCAACCTCATGGCCTGCGGCTCCTTATCTCCAGTGGCCATTACTTCCAAGTTCCCATCTGTTGATGAATGATAAATGACAAACAGAAATAAACTTTAAGTTTAGTCCCCACAAAGGATTTGCCTAAAGGCCAGAGGAGTCTGCTTTTATCACAATATACAACATTACAGAATGACATTGGTGTGACTGAGCTTGAGCAACTGATAACCTAAGGTGGTTTGAGGTTGTACATGAAGTGCATACTAATTGATGCGGTGGAGGTTAGATTGGGTATAAAGAGACATTGCAGAAGTACAAATAATGTTCACAAAACTTTAGATGGGATGTCTTATGTTTTATATATACAAAAGGGAGTTGTGTATGAGAACATGCATTAGTCTGCTACTTTCAAACTGCTTTGTGTAGAACGTTTCTATCACTATTAGTGTATTTCCATTAATTCCAACCAATTAGTGCTCATGTGGTCTAAGCCAATTCATCTTTAAATGGAGAGCCAATATGCTATGACAAGGCAGCAGTCAACAGCCTATACACAAGTGAAGTTAATTAAATTCCTAAAGGAATTCCTGAAAAATGACAACAATAGCTGAAATATTGTAAATATTATAGCCCAAATAAGAGACTTGAATTCCCTGGGAAATTGTATTTTCTCTGTTAAATTGTTTTTAATATTTTTGGTGAACATTTCAAGAGTTTGATTTATAATGCAAAAATACATTTGCAGTGCTCTGCCTGAATATCAATAACAAACTACAAACCCCTTTGTATAACACTGAGCAGAGACCTATAAATGTAGAAAGTACATGTCATGGGACTACGGATGAAAAATAGCCTCTTGGCTAACTCTGGCACATTTACAGTAATGTTTATCAATGTGCACTGTCCCTGATAAATGAATAAATAAAAAAATAGATGGCGAGGCAGCCATTTTTGTTTGCAATTCAAAAGATGCACATAAAGCAGCAGCCAATAGGAGGCTATACAGTTTTAAATGCAATTGATAGTAGCCCAAATAGGTAAAAGCAAAGGGGCGATGATATGCTGTCAAGATACTGTCATAAAAACAAACAGATGTGCAGTGGTAGCACTTTGATGAAGGGCTCCCAAACGCCCTGCCAGCAGTTTTCTTTCAGTGAAAAACGCTATATGGACACACGCCATTAGTGATCCTACACATTGTCCAGCTAAATATCTACATGCACTAAATGTAAAAATATAACGCCAAATCAAAAATAGTTACTTGAGAAAAAATAATATTGAAAGGCTGGCAATAATATTCAATAATAGCTGAAATACTGTTGTGGTATACTGCGCCATAATTATTTTGAAGCCACACAGGTTCTGGAGAGCCCTAATGTAAAACTTTGCTCCACCTGTACAAACCTTGCTCTTGTATAGAGTTCTTGGCCTCAAGCTGCTGCTTGAGTCTGCCATTTTCCTCCTCTAGCTCATCCACCCGAGACTGGAGCATCTCAGCCTTCTTTCTCCATACAATATGCTGCTTGACAAGCATACTACTTTCCACGTTACCAGCTGCAAAATAGGACATGACAAATTAGGAATACTAAGTCGGAGGTAAAACCGTGTGTTTAGTTTGCGGGGAGCAGATCGCCGTGTTTAAGGAGTACAATGTGAGTCGACATTACGAGACGAAACACGCGGAGAAATATAAAAACTTGACTGACGCTGAAAGGGCGCGGACATCGGAAGCTTTGCTAGCTAAGCTGCAAAAGCAGCAAGGCTTTTTTACCAAGCTTCACACATCCAGTGATGCAGCAACCATGACCAGCTTTGTGATATCCCACAAAATTGCTAAAAACAGTAAGCCGTTCTCGGAGGGGGAGTTTGTCAAAGAGTGCTTGGTGGACTCTGCAGCACTAATATGCCCTGAAAAAAAAGCCGCATTTGAGCAAGTCCCGCTGTCCAGGCGAACCGTGACTAGAAGGATCGAGGACATTGCGGGGAATCTGGAGCTTCAGCTGCAACGTGAAGTGGCAAGTTACGACTTTTTCTCCTTGGCTTTGGACGAGAGCTGTGATGTCCGCGACACAGCCCAGTTACTCGTATTCGTCCGCGGGATAACACCGGACTTCAAGATTACGGAGGAGCTGGCAGCAATGCGGTCGATGAAAGGGACGACGACAGGGAGCGATCTGTTCACGGAGGTAAACGAGTGCATGGACACGCATACATATGTGAACAAACATTTTCAATTATGAAGTTTACGAAATCCAGGTATAGATCCTCTCTCACTGATGATCATCTGTCAGCTGTGCTTCGCATCTCCACCTCAGACATTCAACCTGACTTTGATGCACTCGTTAAAGCCCAGCAGAGACTAGATTTCTCTCACTGAACAAGAAAAGAGAACTTAAAAACACCAAATGAGGTGGTTAGACTACAAATGTTGGCATGTAAAGGCACCAACTAGCAGTGAACTGGGACACTTTCTTTGAAAGCCTTTTTCTCAAAATCACAGTTCAGTGATGTTTAGTGACAGTTCAATATGATGTATCTTGCTTAATATTTGGAGTACAAAGACAATATTGTGATGTCTTTAGAATGCTAAGAACCTCTTTCCAACAGTAAATGAAACTCAAAATGTGTTTGAGTGAATGTGACTGAAAATGTTCACTAATATGAGTCACAAATGGTGAAAAACGTTCATTTTGTTTACCATTGTTTTGGGAAATTTGATTTAATAAATGACATTTTTTTGTAAGGCAACCTCACTTTTTCATTGCTTAACTATAACATATACTCTTACCAGCTTGTCAAAACAATGCTATTTACTGCTTTTTATAAAGAAATACAATTAATATTATGCAGAATTGAGTTCAGCCTTTTGGCCCGGCCCTCCACAATATTTTCAGTTTCTCATGTGGCCCCATGGAAAAAATAATTGCCCACCCCTGCTCTAGGATGTACATTTTTGTTCTCTCTCCCTCAGCTACCCATGGAGGCAAGATACAATTTAGACAAGTAGCCAGCTAACTAATGTTACAAGATATTTATTTCAGCGTATAGTATAGATAATGACACTGACATGAACTAGGCTTACTTGCATAAACAGCATGGTTTTTACATAAGCTGCTGTTATTTGAATTACTTATATATCCAACTTAGTGTGTATGTGTGCGTAACACACACATAGAAAATGTTCAGTTTATCATACAATTTGATGTCCTACAATTTACAGGGAATGCCGACGTAAAAGATGTGGACGTTTGAGGAGAAGTGTTAGGACAAAGTCACTTTTCTCACAATCACACTGCAGTTTATTCGCATGGATGAAGTACATCCATAGGTAAGCAATGCAAAGGTATTATCTTATTACAGTATTTGATAGATTACAGTAGCCTATGTGTAGAGTGCATTTGAGTATATGGAGTACATTTGCACTACAGCACATGCTGTTATCATAATTTATGGTGGCATGGATGTATGGTCAATCTGAAAGAATATTACAAAAGCATATCCTGTCATATAACCTGCCTTGATTGGCCAGATATGTTACAGTAACAAAAAAACTCTCTGACTTGACTTTTGGCTCTTGCTAATTTCATCATGTTGTAAGTTGACCATATTTTGTTTTTCTGCTCTTAAGTATTAATTTTTTCTGCTTTCAAGCATTAGGATTTCTTATAAATCATAAGTGTGGGCTTCTGACAGAAGAGTATGGTGGTGATTATATCTATACAACCAGATGTGACACTGTGTTGCAATGAGCATCAGTTTTAGTCAGCCCTGTACAGGATGGTTGATTGACAGGATGGCTTGTTATTGATGCTAGTTAAAAAACTAATGGCCCAAATACAATATACTCGGTATAAATTATGCTTCGTGACTTATATCTTGATCAAAGAAATGTTTTCTTCTTTGGGAAATGCACTGTCCTTATTTCATTATTTGTGTTAATCCTTGATAGATTTGCCCAGGGTTTGCATCTACGGCAAGTTGACATGCTTCAAGATGGCATTGCAAAGAGCTCAGCAACACTTTCCATGATGTCAAAGAAACTCAGAAGAATCTGTGTAAAAAGCCTGGGAAAGCACCAAAAGAAAAAGAAGCAGAAAGTCGGTGGAGTTAATGTCCTTGTCCACATTGATGAGAGCAAATTCTGCCACAAACGCAAGGTAATATAATTTAAATGTGCAATACACCTGACTAAATGTGTTACATTTTCTATAACCTGAAAGAGCTTACATCATTATGTGAATCATAATTTAGGATAGATATAGAGAGTGGGTGGGAGGGGAGAGTCATAGATAGGATATACAAAAGAAATGGCAGAAATGAATATCACTCTCCCCAAAGCTGTCAATCAGTTAATAAAAAACGTTGATGAAAAATGTGATTATGTGAAATGTGATATACTCATTTTATTGTATTTGTTTAACCTAAAGAGGGTTTATTTACGGAAGCGTAATGCATACACGTGAGAAATAAACGTTTTCTGTTTCAGGAAAGGTTCTCGTGAATAACCTTTTTTTCCTCAAGTGAATGCATTAGGCTTCTGTATTTATCTTATATATTAGTCAAATAAAACAGGAACAGGTGTTCCTAACTCAAACATTACATACATAATGAATAAATAATTAAATATTCACACAAAGCCAGAGTCAAGACTAAATTGAATTGCATTGCAGTGTCACAAGATTTGGTAATTGTTTTCAATCAATTTCAGTCAAGATTTTCTGGTTCCTAATGTGGTCATAGTGACACAAATAAAAGCACAAATTCATGAACTGTCGAGGAGAAAAAAGATAACCTTCGGGTTAGACCTTGAGAAGATTATCCATTTCCAGCAAATCATTTTGTAAGCATGTTTACTGTGTTAAAAGGAATTTAAAACAGATTTAGATGAAAAGGTAATTACACCTGACTAACAATAGATTGATTAAACATAAAGTCAAGAGATTATTTTGTAATAATATTCACACTGTTTTTTTAAAAACTTTTTTATACTGTTTTTTGGTAGTATGGAAGAGGACGCTTTGGTAACACCTGGAGAAGAAAGAGATCGTGGGTGTTTGGTATACTCGAGATCAAAGCTGCAAGCAGACGTCCCATTCTTCGCCTTGTAAAGAGAAGAAACAAGGAGACCCTTGTTCCCATCATCAAGAAGCATGTCAAGCCTCAAAGTCTTGTTGTGAGTGATGAGTGGAGAGCATATGCCAGTCTTTCCCAGGAGGGCTACAGGCATGTCAGGGTCAACCACAGCCAGAATTATGTTGATCCACAAACAGGACTACATACACAAAATATTGAGAGAGCATGGCAGACATACAAGAGGGAAGTTTGGCGTATGCGGGGGAATCGTTCTGAGAAAACCTTGAAAAAACAGCTCTCCTTCATAGAGTGGACCTACTGGTTAGCAAGAACCTATAAACATGGTGTACTTGGAAGACTTATCAAGGACATAGGGAATGGTAACCACAGATAAGTTTAGGACCTTTCTGTAGCCTAATTAGTGTTGTTAACTGATCGAGCTTTACACCCTGGTAATTGGCTGGGGGTTAGACCCACACATTGGGCCCAAAGGCTCTTTGCTGACGCCCATAAACGTCCTGAACACAGCAAAATAAAATTGTATTTATAGTTATTAAACTGTACAAATCTGCAGTGCAGTGATTTTTTTTCGTTTGCCTGGTATGACTACCAGCTGGTAGATAATGTGTTTCAAACTTTATTTTTTACCATTTCACAACTGTTCAGTTTTTTTTACTTGTAGTATATTCTTAAAACAAAAAAGCTTTCTTTCTCTGATATGCTGTGTATGGTCAATCCCAAAGTGAGAAAAACTACCATGCCCTGCAGTTTTAGGCAAACTGTTAAGCCTTTTTGTATTCTATTTTTGCATTCTATTTTTGCATTCTATTTTTGCGACCTGTTAATAATTACGTTTAGATGTAGGATTTTAGTAGGATTGAATGTGGTTCACAACTGTTCAGTGTTTTTACTTGTAGTGTATTATTAAAATAAAATAGCTTTCTTTCTCTGATATGCTGTGTATAATGTTTGTTCTACTGTGCTTTATAGCCTGGTATTGACTTCAGTTATCCAGTGTTTGTGATCAGTTGTGCAAAAGATTTCGCTTTATTCCCATGTCTGTTGCATATAATTAGTGGATGACTGTATGTGTTCTGTTGATAGGTTATAGACTTTCTACTGTTCTCAACTGTTTTTCACTTTAATTGGATAGTCCTAACACATGCCTACAAACGCTTAGTGGAGAACCTACTAAAAGTATACTGATAGTCAACTCTAGATTAGTTGACAATCAACAGATAGTCAACTAAACTCTAAAGTTACTTATCTGTTGATCATCAACTAATGGTTAATGTAATAGTCAACTAAACTCTAAAGTTACTTATCTGTTGATCATCAACTAATGCTTAATGTAATAGTCAACTAAACTCTGAAGTTACTTATCTGTTGATCATCAACTAATGCTTAATGTAATAGTCAACTAAACTCTGAAGTTACTTATCTGTTGATCATCAATTAATGCTTAATG